ATGGTCATCCTATGAGCATTATGACCATACCTAGCTCCCTCTGCTTGACTCTATTACAGTACTTATCATGTTAATTGTGCTTATGGCTCTCTTCCATTAACTTTACCTTAAAAACATGTTTGTTGATGGTACACGTGCATAAATGAGGTCTAATTTACTTTTCCCCAAGGACATGAAACAGTTTATTTTTTCAAAATCTTTCTCATTATTTAATACATTCATTTAATAAGTCTTTATATGTTACCTACCATGTGTCAAGCAGTGGTCTAAGTGCTTTACAAATATTAACTCATTTAATCAGGATAAGAACCCCATGGGGTAGAAGATATTAATATTAGCATTTAGCACATTTAAACCTCATAAAATTCTAAGTGATAGGTGCTATTTATATCCCCATTTTAAACACAAAAAACTGAAAGTAAAAAAATTGAGTAACTTTTCTAAAGTCATCCGGCAAATAAGTGGTGGGGCTTATTACTGAATCCAGGGAATTTGGCTCAAGAGTTGATGACCTTAACAACCATGATATACTACTTCTCATTCTGGTAAAAAACTGCATAGTAAAATAAATGTTTCTTAGTTGACTTGAAAAGCTCATTAAAGTGCCATAAAACGCATTCTGGAAATTATTTCTCTGCCCATCCTCACCTCATGAAGACTAAGCAGCATTTTCATTAAGATTAGATATCACAGTCAAGACTAACTGAAACTGTGGAAAAGCTACCATGTATTCACATTATAAGTGATCCCCAATAAAACCATCTGCCCAGAGAATGGAATGGGACCCACATTGCTCAATTCTGATTCTTATCTTTTTACTTTGCCTAAAAGGGTTTGAGTTGTTTGGCCTCCTTGCTATATACTCACATTTACCTAAGAGTCAGAAATACCAACTTTTGTAGGCTGGCCATCAGGTGATACGTCTGACATCTTATTTTTAAAATTAGCTGAAGGAAGTCTTTTGCATGGTACTTTTTATGTCATCCAGAGAAAGCTCAGAATACTTACTGGAAAATCTGAAATAACAAGAACAAATCTCTTGCCAATTTTACGGCAACACTAAAGCAAAGTATGTTTTTTTTGTTTTTCCTGTTGGGCTCAGTGCACCTAGGAGTTTACTGTATCTAAGGAGATTATTCCCTAAATTCAATGTACTGGCCAGTCATAGAGGTGATTCTGCTTTAACTAGGCTCCTGTCCTGATGGGGTCACATGCAGATTTGATAATCATCTGCCTGAAGTCATTCAAAGTTTGATAATTTTTCCAGTTACTAAAGTAAGTGAGGAATTCCTGGGCAATGCGATGGTTAAGCCCTGGGCTACTAAAAGAAAGGTTGGTGCTTCGATCCCACCCAGAGACACCTGGGAAGAAAAGGTCTGGCATTCTGTTTCCAAAAAGTAACACTCATACAAACCTTATGGGGGGCAGTTCTACTCTGCAACACATGGGGTCACCACGAGTTGGAAGTGATTGGTTTTAAAATACGTGATTCTTAACTTCTGGAGTGAAAGTTTAAAAATCATCCCTTTCACACTTATGAAATATTTGGTAGGTATATTAGAGAAAACTATTGTGTAATTTTTAATAAAATGGCTAAAATTCCTCCTGTATAATTAGGAATGTGAATCTCAGTTTTGATGGCTTTCTGAGTATGTATATATCTTTGAGGGAATTAATGTATTAATGATTAAGAGCATTTTTGTAAAGTTTAAATTACAATAGGGTCACTGTGAGTTGGAATTGACTCGATGGCAATGGAATGGAGGGATTTGATTTTTTAAACCAAATGCACTGCACTTGCATTGTGTTATATGTAGGTGTTCTTTGTTTTCTCTTTTGATTAATCCCTTTAAACATACTATTTTTGGTCAATGATGTTCAGATATCTCTACCATGAAAAGGATTCTGTTTATAAAGCCAACAAGTCACCAGGTAAGTAACTGATTTTAAAGAGCAGAACTTTTCTTCTTACTTTCTGCCCAATTTTTGTAGCAAGGAGCGCCTCATACTCTATAATAAACTCCATATATGAACAGTATGCTGGTCAAATATAATTCTTTACTGCAGGTCTCAAACATGTTGTTTGAATATAGATTTTTTGATAGTGACTAAGGCTTTGGTGTTGTAATAATCATAATTTTCTTCACTAATGGGGTTCAGTGTTTTATCTCTCAGGCAGCATGACACACGAAGAAAACAATTCATTTGGTCAAAGAATCACCGTACGCCTGTGCCAACAGTACTCTTTTAATTGAAGTGCCAGGAAACCAAGTATAATTGCATGCATTTTGGGGAACGTCCATATTAGCAAAGGAACTGGCCGGTCCATTAGTGGCGTTTTATTCAAAATGAAAATATTTTTCCATCCAAAGGACGTAAAAGACAATAGATCTTCTGATCAAGTGACATATTTTCCAAATAACCTATCGGTTAGGTTTATATTCCTCTTATTCGGTCTGAGTAATATATTTCTTTGAATATAGTTCAAAGAACAAGCCAATTTATGAGCTAATTTTTTTTAGAAATTCCAGCTTACAGTTTCATTTAAGGAATTCTCCTTTTTAAAACAATGGAAAAGATGATACTCAC